ATTCCTGATATAAAATTAGTATCATTAGATTAGTCATAAAATATATTTTTATAATAAATTCATTTTGAAGATATAAATATTAATACTATTTGTTATAAACTTGGTTAAACTTAAACTACTTTGGCCCCGTTCGTTTGGAGGAATTTGGAAGAATCTGGATGGTTTTGGATGAATCCGGAAAAATTTGTGAGAGAAAAATACTGTTCCGAATAAAAAAAGAAGAGGATAAGTCGGATTTAAGGACACACGAACGGAGCCTTTAACCGACACGGATTCCGTAATCACATTCTTGACGGAGGGAGTAGTACCATGATGATGGTGGGGTGGGGACGGACAACAGAACGTCGGGCGGGCGGGCGTGCCCTATCCAATCCTGGTTCAGATCCAGCCTATATTAGTGCTGTGTCAGTGTGTGATGAGAGGTACAAATGAGGAAATAATGGTGCAACGTTCTCCTCCAAAGTGCCTTACTTTATGTGAGCGGCGGATGGGCTTTGGTAAGGACCTTTCTATTTTTTTTATAAAAAAAAGAAAATGACTTCTAAAATGATCTTAGGACCGTGAAAAGCTACTTATGAAATACGTATTGTGAACAGCCTGATTGTAAGAACATATATAGATTCTAAAAATCTAGATGTTGATCTTTCAAAAAAAATCTAGATTGCAATGGTGGTCCATGTTGTGCTTTGGATGTGGGTTTAGGAGGTGGGTGACTTTTGGGTGAAAGCCTTGTCCGGTTACAAGCTGAGGTTGGCAATTTGAGACGTATTTTAATGCCTTTCACTTTGTTGGAGACATTTTGTTGTGAAGTCTTTTTCTCTCTCTTGTGTTTATTGAAAAAAAGGCACCATCGTAGATACTGCCCACAGCCCAAGCTCCTTGCTTGATTTGGTGCGGCTTCCAAGGGCGTCGTTTTGCCTATGCTTTTGTCATAATGGGTAGTCCTGTTCCCTAAAATTGGAAGAGCATCTCCAACAGTACTACCTACATCAGACTATCTAAGTATTTATTGATTAACCAATTATTTTTCTACTACCCATATTTTGCTTCCAATTCAGGCTACCCAAATCCTATGTAAGTATTTAATGGTTAACCAACCATTTTTCTACTACCCATATTTTCTCCCAATTCAGGCTACCCAAATCCATCGTGGTAGAGAATGACAGACGGGTCCCACCTGTCATTATCCCTCGTGTTCTTCTCGCCATGGATGGTCGGAGCAGATGGAGCAGCGCAGGTGGGGAGAAGGGCGGTGCTGGTGGGAAGCAGGGCTGACCGCCGGAGAGCAGGCCGCGCGCTGGAGAGCTAGCGTCGGGCGCAGGCCGCCGTGCCGGGGAGCAAGCCGCCCGCCGGGAAGCCCGCACCGGTGGGCAGGCCGCCGCGCCGGGGAGCAGGACGCCCACCCGGGAGCGCGCGCCGGGGCAGCGCCGAGGGAAGGACGCCGCTCCGGGGAACTTCGCTCGCGAGATCCGCTGGAGAAGACGACGTGCACAGGGTCGGCGGCGGACCTCCAGATGCGGCGGAGCAGGGCCGACGGCTGCATCGAGGCTCCCCTGCGGCGGTGTTGGGCTCGTCGGACTGGTCGAAGGGGGCCGGCAATGGAGACGGGCGGGGCGCATGCCTGCGAGAACGAAGAAGAACACAAGCGCGTCGGTGGGGAAAAATTTTGAGTCTTTTCCCTGTGCACCATTAAAAAAAGATGGCTTTTTTGTACATGTCACTAAAAAGTTCGGACTTACCTAGGGGAGCCTCGATGACACTTTATTTCTTTGCCATGACACTTTATTTCTTTGCCTCCAAGCCATTCCGTCCATTTTCGCTGGTAACGGTGTGTAAGGGCGAGGAGAAAAGACCGAAGTGCCCTCAGTCTAGGGCGGATGAGTGAAATTGCCGTTTGCCCTGTGTGTCACTCCCTGACTCAGCGTTTGAGCGCCAAGACGGCTGACGTGGGCAAGTTTTTTGGCGCCAAAGGCACTAGGCTTGGCGTCAAAGAGACCCGGCTTGGTGCTTAAACGAGGAGCTATCAAGCAACGCGTACCAAGCAGCGCAAGCAAAGCTTCGAGCTTCGCCATGAACATGGGTAGCAGGACCCCGGCAACGATCCGATGCAAGTACTGCAGCGCGTGCCTCACTGTGTGCCTCGGTGAGCGCGCCGTCCAGTGCACGCAATGCTGCGGTGTGACGCGCATCCGGCAGTCGGTGTCCTCACGGCTCCCGTTGCCGGAGCCGACGAGGCCGGGGGCGGCGCCCATGGGCGCCTTCGCGTGCGCCCGTGGCAAGAAGCGTGCCATCCTGATCGGCATCTCGTACGCCAGCGTGCGCCAGGGCTGCGGCCAGCTGAGGGGACCCATCAACGACGTCAAGTGCATGAGGCAGCTCCTCTGCCAGCTGAAAGCTCTAGTTTGGTTTTGGTGAATTGATGAAACCATAAGTGCTAACCTAGTTTATCAAGTGATCATGAGATAGGTAGCACACTCCAAGTGGTGAAGCAAATGAAGATCATAGCATGATAAAGATGATGTCATGGTGATGATCAAGTGCTTCGACTTGGAAAGAAGAAAGAGAAACAAAAAGCTCAAGGCAAATGTATAATTTGTAAGAGCTATTTTGTTTTGGTGATCAAGACACTTAGAGAGTGTGATCACATTTAGGATTGATAGCCGTACTATTAAGAGGGGTGAAACTCGTATCGAAATGCGGTTATCAAAGTGCCACTAGATGGTCTAACTTATTGCATATGCATTTAGGATCTAGTGGAGTGCTAAACCCCTTGAAAATGTTTGTGAAAATATGCTAACACTTGTGCACAAGGTGATACACTTGGTGGTGTTGGCACATTTACAAAGGAGGTGGTGTTTGCAGGGTTGAGATGGATTCGGCGCTTTCAGGAAAATAGAATGCCTATTTTCTATTGCGCCGGATGCAAATTCTTGTGGTTGGCGCATTGGAGAAGGGTAAAGAAGTTAGAAGTGAAAACGAGTTGATTGCAAAGACGCTGACGTCAGTCTTCTGACCGGACGCTGGGTCTGAAAGCACCGGACCCTGGCTGCGTGTGTCCGGTCAAACTGACGGGTCTGCGCAGTGCCGAGGGTATTGCACCGGACGCTGTTCTGTGTCCGGTCAAGGTGGACCGGATGTGTCCGGTCGAAGAAATACGACTCGGGGAGTTTACTGGAAACGACCGGACGCTGGGGCTTCAGCGTCCGGTCAACTACGTAGCCGTTGAAATTGGGCGATCGGCGTTTGAAGCCAATGACTCGTGGCGCTCATCGCTCGACCGGACGCTAAGGTCCAGCGTTCGGTCAATATGACCGGAGCGTCCGGTCAGCCCATGTTCAGCCCAGTGAAGAGGTATAACTGCTCTATTTCACTGGGGCTCTATTTATAGCCCCATGGCCGGCTCAAGCTCTCTCTCTTGGCCATTTTGCATTGACATAACAACCTTGTGAGCTTAGCCAAAGCCCTCCCACTCATTTCCATCATAGATTAAATATCTTTGTGAGATTGGGAGAGAATCCAAGTGCATTGCTTGAGTGTTTGCATCTAGAGGCACTTGGTGTTCGTGTTTCGCTTCGGGATTCGCTTGTTACTCTTGGTGGTTGCCGCCACCTAGACGGCTTGGAGCAGTGAGGATTGTTGAGCGGAGGGTGGTGATTGTCTCCGGCTCCGATCGTGGTGATTGTGAGGGGTTCTTGACCTTTTCCCGGCGGAGCGCCAAAAGGTACTCTAGTGGATTGCTCGTGGCTTGTGTGATCCTCATCTTGTGTTGGTTGTGCGGCACCCTATTGAGGGTTTGGCGTGTGAAGCCAATTAGCGCGTGAACCTCCAAGTGAGTGAATCGCCACAACGAGGACTAGCTTGCCGGCAAGCAAGTGAACCTCGGTAAAAAATCATTGTGTTCATCATTGATTCCGAGGTGATTGGTCTTTATTGTTATCCACACTTGTGATTGATTGGTTCATACATCTACACGGCGGTATAACCTTCTTGCCTACTCTTTACATTACCGCAAACTAGTTGTCAAGCTCTTTAGTGTAACTAGTTGTGAGACCTTGTTATTTTAGTTAGTGTGGCTCTTTAGTTAGCCTTTGAGAGCACACTAACTTAGTGTAGTGATATAGCTATTGTGTGGATATACTCCATCTAAACTAGAATTGTGGTAGGTGGCTTGCATTTTGGTAGGCTAGCGCAAAACTCGCTTCGCCTCATAATTGTCTAATCCTTTTGTTAAGTGTTGTTGAAGAAATTTTATTAGGCTATTCACCCCCCCTCTAGCCATTAGGACCTTTCACCAGCGCTTCGCCTTCCCCAGCGACGGCATCATCATGCTCACTAGTGTGTGTGTGTGTGATGCAATCGTCCATGCATTTCGATCTCTCTCAAGAAACTAATTGATGCATGGGGGCAACTCCAGTGCGTGCAGATGACCAGAAGGACCCGTTCAGGCTACCGACCAAGGACAACATCCGCATGGCGATGCAATGGCTGGTGTAGGGGGTGCAACAACGGTGACTCCCTAGTGTTCCATTTCTCTGGGCTGGTGCGCGGGGCCGCCGACAAGGATCGCGACAAAGCCGGGCGCGTCTGACGAGGCCATCTCGCCCACCGGACTCGTTCTAGAAGGGCCCCATCTCGACGACGAGATCGACGAGACCATCGTCCGCCCGGCCGGTGCACGGTGCTAAGCCGCACGCCGTCGTCGACGCCGCCATAGCGCCACCGCCCTCGACCTCGACCTCCCTTCCTCTCGCAACATGTCTAGGACCGGAAATCGGCGGTGGGAGGATCACCGCCCCCGTAGGGCGCGTCTCGCAAGGGCACGAAGCGGCGGCGGCGGTGCTCATCGGCGGCTACGGCGATGGCAAAGACCAAGTTCGCCGTGGTCGGTGCACACCGATCCTATACTTCTATGGTCGCCATGAACGTGGCGACGCTCTGATCTCTTACGATTGGTTTGACATGCGACACGCCATGTTCTATTGCGACGCCGGGCTCTCGCGATGGTGGGGGCCATGACGCGCAGCTTCATCAAGGCGGTGGAATGCGAGCCGCGGGGTCACCTCGGCCGCCGCTTCACCTCCATGAAAGCCATCATGACCAACGCCGGTGGTCGCAACCAGTGCGAGGGTCCTATCGCGCGCGCGCCCGCACGCAAGGTCGCAAACTTCAGCCGCGTCACGGTGAGGCTCGCCATCGCGATCTCGATGAGCTAAGCAATCGACTTTGTTGTCCGTCCCGACATGCAACTCATATATGCAATGCATGCATGGCTCGTCTTGCGGGAACCTAACTCCGTCCCGCCAGAGAGATGTTCGACGCTCTACCGCAAGCCCTTTGCGGCGTGAAGAGCCTCGTCGGCTTGCCATTGCGCATCACATAATCGCCATCTAGACTCTATAAACTGTCGTGTCGTCGAAACAATAAACCAGATGGGTTTAAGGATGATATGTGCTTGCTTGCTAATGATGTGTGACTAATTGTCTATGTGTCAATAATGTGTGTCTACATGTCACCGGACCTGAGGCAAGCTCATAGCTTGTGGACGACTTGGTTCATCATATCGTCCATGGCTCCCGAGCCTACTATACCTTATGGCCCATTGTAACAAGGCTATTGTTTCCTGTGCATGTCCTGTGCAGTTGATGGGCGCGCTCGTCGAGGCACACAGTGAGGCTCGCGTTGTAGTACTTGCACCGAATAGTCGCCGGGGTCCTGCTACCCATGTTCATGGCGAAGCTCGAAGCTTTGCTTGCGCTGCTTGGTACGCGTTGCTTGATAGCTCCTCGTTTAAGCACCAAGCGGGGTCTCTTTGGCGCCAAGGCTAGTGCCTTTGGCGCCAAAAAATTTGCCCACGTCATTCGTCTTGGCGCTCAAACGCTTGGTCAGGGAGTGGCACACAGGGCAAACGGCAATTTCACTCATCCTCGCTAGACTGAGGGCACTTCGGTCTTTTCTCCTCGCCGTTACACACCATTACCAGCGAAAATGGACTGAATGGCTTGGGGGCAAAGAAATAAAATGTCATGGCACCTAGGTAAGTTCGAATTTTTAGTGGCCTGTAGGAAAAGACCATCTTTTTTAATGGTACACAGGGAAAAGGCTCAAAAAATTTGGGTACCCACTCTTATAAATGTCCATGCAGCCCGAGACATGGCGGCCTGACACGAAGCACGCAATTTTGGTTCGGACCAAGCACGGCACGGCCCGATGGTCAGCGGGCCCGGGCTGGCCCAGCCCGAGGAAGCAGGCCATGCCTGGGCCGCTGCTCAGGCCCGTGGGCTTACACGGCATGGCCCGGCCTTCGACGGTCGGCCCGACAGCGGCCCGGCCTCACCCCTCCCTCTCCTCACTCCTCCTCCCCTCCCCAAGGCCGGCCCGCCCCACCCACCCCGTGATCCCTAACTCCCTTCCCATCCTCCCCTCCGCAGGCTCCCGCAGGTGCGACGCCGCAGCTCCCTCCGCATCCCTCCCGCAGGCGCGACGTCGTAGCCTCTCCCCCACCGGCATCACTCGCGCAGCGCCGCAGGCCGTAGCTTCTCCCCTCTGCATCCCACGCGCACGGTCCTAGATCTGGGCCCCGGACGCGCTGCCGCCTGCCGATGCCGCGCGGGACGCCCTCCCTCCCCTCGGCCCTAGCGCACGGGCACCGATGCCGTGCCCCCACGCGGACGCCCCCTCCCCGCCTCCACTCCGGCGGCCTCGACGGCGGGGGGTTCCGCGGGCTATAGAGACCCGGCGGAGAACCACGCTCCTAATTCCCTTCCCCTCCCACCTCTGCGCCACGGACGCCGACGCCCCCTCCATCTCCTCGCCGGTGTCAAGGGCCCCAAGGGCAAGGTCATCGGCGGCCACTGCATCGGCTGCTCGCGCTTCATCGTGGGCCCGGGCTGGCCCAACACGCTAGACTGGCCGTGCTTCTCGGGCTGGCCCGGCCCGATAAACGGCCCAGCAGGCCGTGCCTAGGCCATAGGTCAGGCACGGTGCCCGCCTCGGCACGGCCCGGTAGGCACGACGTGCCATGCCGGCCTGAACCCCATCGGGCCGTGCCTGGCACGGGCCCGTGCCGGGCTGGGCCAGGCCGAGCCGTTGGACTTCTATACCCACTCTTGGCCCAACGGGAATGGGTAGTTGAAGGAATGACTGGGTAGCCAACAAATTTGTTTTGTCTAGTAGGTAGTCTGTTGGAGTTGGGTTTTTTTTTTGTTCCTACTACCTAAATTAGGGATAGGTAGTTTGTTTAGGTAGTCTGCTGGAGTTGCTCTAAAGATGGTCGTTTCTCTTAATGTGCGGTGTTTTATAAGTTGCTTTTTTTATTAATATAAATACGTATTTTTTGTCGGTTATTTTAAAAACACACATAGAGATAGACCGATCTTTTTTATCCCTCTTATTGAAATGTCGGTCTCACATGGGCACATGGCAAAGCCTCAGTGTTTTAGAGCTACAATACATGTTTGTTTCACTCCTCAGGGTGTATTTGGATCGGAGAAATTCTAAAGGAATTATGGAGGAATATATTCCAATAGAAATGACTGTCGTTTTAGTGTTTGGAACAAAGGAACCGTCAAGGGTTGCTTCGATGTGCAAAATGGAGGAAAGAAAAAAGAATCCACCAAAGTCTCTTGTATTATTTCCTTCACGAAGACCAAGGCAGAAGCATACGCTGCCTGCATGCCTCAGCGCCATATGTGGAGCTCGTTCGGCTGGCTGGTTGCCGGCTGGCTGGCTGGCCAGCCCACTCACAAAATCACTGTTCACGTTTTGTTAAAATAGTATTTTTCTCTCACAACAATCAGCTGGAACAGTATTTTTTAGTCCTACCGAACAAGCCCGTGATTGGACCTTAGCATCTTTGGTCCGCGTGTCAGTGGCTTAGAGATACATCTCGTGATGGTAAATGGCTGCTTGTTTTTCTCACCTGTGGACCTATCAAGTCTATTTTCCTGTGTTCCAATTCTTGTGTTCCAGACACCTAATCCTACGTTTCCTTTGAGTTTTCCTTTCCTCTATTTCACCAATACCACCATATCATGTCCATGTGTTTTTTTTTCATTTATCTATTTTCAATTCCTCCATTTCAAACAGGCTCTTAGTATGAGCTTGTTCGAGCTAGTATGTAATACGTATGCTATAGGTGAAGCTAAATGCTGGGGCTGAGGAAAAAAAGAGGAGAGAGAATAGAAGTAGGGTGTAAGTTTATAGCTAGCTTATGACTAAGAACCAGCAAACTTCGTAAGAAAAGAAAGTAATGGGCTATGTATTAATAGTGAAAAACTAACTATATGTCGAAATATGTAAAGGAAAACTACATATCTAAAAAGCCAAAACAACTTACTCTTATAATTTGAAATAGAGGTAATACATATATTATTATGAAGATATATTAACGATGAAATTTAATGTTACATATTTAATTTCATAAATATCGTTGAACCAACTTGTTTATAAAAAATGATCACGGTTTGACTTGCGGTAGGTAGAATTTAGAGTTATTCGTGGATTGAGTATTCGAGTAGTACGTTACAGCTAGTTATGCATGATCTAGACGGTAACTCTGAGGCATTCGTATCTAGCTTGAACAGACGGAGCTGGACGTGGAGTCCAAAATCGTGAAGCTATGCCGGGTACACGCAAAGCACACGAATGACAGTCAATTGGCAGCCGAGCATCATCGGAGCACGGCCCCCGGTCCCGGTCTGAGGAAGTGGCATCAGCAGCTGTCCGACGAGGACAAAAGGTGGATCGCACTGCGCAGATGCACTCCCACGGCCAGGGCGGATTGATCAGATCATCACTGGCCTCCTGCTTCTGGCGTCGCCTTTGCAAATTGTTGTCTCGCAGGCACGTGTCCCTGTCGCAAGGCCTTTTCAGCATACTACTCCTACGGAGTATTGCCCTGTTCCTTGGCCCTGTAATTTTTCAGCCACCGAATAGTATTTTTCTCTCACAGTAAATGCCAACAGTACTTTTAGTCATGACAAGCGAACAGGGCAATGTGTCATAAGTCATGATGCTGCTCCATTTGATCGTCCCCTTTTTCTTGCTGGTTCTAGGTCATTATGTCATGATGCTGCTCTATTTGATCGTACCCTTTTCTTGCTGGTTCTGTTCCTCCGTAGGATTCACCTGGTCTTAATGATGACTAGTGATCTCTGGGGCCTGACAAGGACCCGCTCCACAAAACTAATGAAAACATCATCCGCACGATAATTTACAGAGCACCGCATGAATTTCATCGGCTCCAACCTAATAATGCCACAATAATTCCAAATGCATCACCAGGAATCGACCAGAGTATTGTCATTCACATTTCATAGATCCCGGATACGGCAGTGACACGAAGCAATAGCATACATAACCTCAATTGCAGTTGCCAGAATCGTTCCCCCAAGAAAAGCATAAGGTGAATGCAACCAAAAATGGAGGGCGATTCCAAGAATAAAACCCAGGCAACACCAAATCGTTCAACAGGATCCATAATCCATGATGAGAAGACAGGATCACTTCTTTTCGGACAACTATACAGACCAAAAAAAACACTTGTACTTTTAAGTAAAATTATTTCCTGTTATTGGTGTCATCCCCTCAATAGTGCCTTTGAATGTGCCTTTACGTGCATCCATCACGTGATCACGTCCGATCTAAGCAAACAAAATCTCCCCGCTTCCAATAGACCCACTGTACATCAGTCCATCACAGAACCGGTGCCCGTGATCAAATCACCCAAGACTTCTATTCAGTTCCCCGAAGATAGCATGCAGCTGCGTCTTGGCATCTGAACCTACGAAATATTATAACCAGCACTTTCATTTCAAAGTGGCTTGAAGGTAAATAACAGTCTGATTATGGAATGAAGAATAGGCGACAGTGCAACAGAAGTAACAGTCTGAGAAGAAACAAACCTGTTTTGCTAGTGGACAGCCTTAACGAAGTAGCCATTCTGTCCAATCATTGCGCCTCCGGACATTATCTCCCTGTAGCATAGATTGAGGCAGTAGAATGCATGTCAGAGCATATTATCTCAGTAGTCAAGAAAAACAAGAAGTGTTGCAGAATTTATAGCCTAACCTGCACTTCCAATAACTCAGAACCACGGATAGCATCTAGTATGTAGTTGGTGTCCACCAAGCCCGTAAATGCCCTCATCTGAGAAGAATGTATAATAAAGCTATGGTGAATATAACTGTTAGAAGACTGCATCCTGATCATTATAAAGTATGTATTGCCAAAACAAAATGAATTGCAACAGGGCATCATAATAGTTGCAAACCAATCAATTCAAACGTTGTTGAGCAAATATTCCAGATTATTAATTTCCAATATCTGAAACTTGAACTTTTGCAGACAGAAGTAGTCTAGTATGACAGTATGAGATAGGCTGAAGAAGAACATGCAGTTTTGTGTTGTTCAATCCTCATTACGAAATGCAAGCTAATTCCCAATGATATTAACCTTTTTCTTCAATATTTTAACTTTCACTTATATAATTCAGATAGTTTCACATTATGCAGATATCAGAACTAGCCATTATTTCTTTCAAAATAATGGTTAGTTGCTACTTGGAAATTGTATTGTTAGCTCCAAGCGAGTATTATACATACGAACATGCGACCATACGTGGACACAATATGACACCATAGTTTTTAAGGTGTTACCTAGGCGGCCAGGCATACCTTCAATGGTGGAGCATGCTACAAGGTTTTAGTTATGCCATATCACCTACACTTGCTCATGACAAAGAGTCTATGCACAAGGCAAGAATCAACAACAGATTCCAGGACGCAGTCACAGTATCAAAGTCTAGTACCGTACCTTCAACAATTCTTCCAACTACTGTTAGAAGTTCAAGTTCAAGTTGCAAACAAGAAAGGATTGCCAGTAAAGTATATTAAGCATAAGTTCTGTGGCAAGGGCAGATGGTATTGAGTGCATGCAAAAGTGCAGCAGGCAAAAATTGAGCTATTATAATAACAAAACACAAAAGGAAGAAGCTAGCCTAAATTGCAATCTTCTTATCACCCAGTGAGAAGAATAAACACAGAAAAGAGTAGAACAAAGGCTGAGATATACAATAGATGATGGCTGCTATGCAAGTTCAAGTTGCACTGATCAATCCAATAACCCCATTGTAATATATTTTTACCGATTAGTTGGTTGAGTTATAGAAGGGCGGGCCTGGTGCAAGCGGTAGAGTCTTACCGCCTGTGACCGGAAGGTCCCGGGTTCGAGTCGCGGTCACCTCGCATTGCACAGGTGAGGGTAAGGCTTGCCACTGACACCTTTCCCCAGACCCTGCACAGGGCGGGAGCTCTCTGCACTGGGCACGCCCCCTTTTTAGTTGGTTGAGTTATACCATACTCCCTCCGTCAGGGAAAGAATGCAATTCTAGCATATTATCGAGTCAAACTATTTTGACTTTGACCAACTTTATACAAAAAGGTATTGATACATGATAACCAGTGTCAATAGATTCTTCATGAGATATATTTTCATAGATACGTATTTTGTGTTATAAATCTTGATACTCCTTTTTATAGACTTGGTCAAACTTTAGAAAGTTTGACTAGAGATGGAACTAGAACTGCGTCCTTTTCCAGATGGAGATGGTATAAATCAACTATAATCATTATGTCATCAAACAACAGAGATAACACATTAAACTCATGCCACTCTATGAGAGGAACAAATCAAAGACAAGGTAAATCATTATGTCATCAAACAACAGAGATAACAAAGCAATACAGCATACTCATGCCACTCTATGAGAGGAACAACCAAAAACAAAAATGTGACTAACACAAGAAGGATAGTGTCGGGGACTAATACTAGGGTACCCGAAGAGGAGGAGCTAATAACCATCAATGTTGATTCATCCGAGCGATCAAGAGCGCGACTACAGCTCTTGCCGACCACCTCGTCCAACCACCGAGGTCGCGGGTTACGCCTCGTCCGACCCCCGAGGGTTGGGTCCGCCTCGGCTGACCCCCGGGGACGGGCTCCGCCTCGCCCAACGTCTGAGGGTGGCTCCGCCTCACCCGATACCGAGGCCACGGCCTCCGCCTCGGCCGACCCCTGAGAGTTAGCTCCGCCTCGCCCGACGTTTGAGGGCTGGCTCCGCCACGCCCGACGTCTGAGGGCTGGCTCCGCCTCGCCCGATCGCTCGGGCACGGATCCTAACGGAAGCTCACGCCGTCACCAACCACTACGGGCCAGAAAGTACAACCCAAGGTCAAACTCGACCCGTCCCCGCGACATGACATTCATGGGAACTCACATCGCCCACAGTGACGGACGTGTGGTCACTATGCTGCCTACTCCTTGTACGGCCGCTGATCAGCACGCTGGTTCGCCGCGCCGCCCGCCGGGGCGGATTGGGACGTTACGACCCGCTGACATCGGCAGGGCATGGCTTCATCAAGCGGACAGGCGCCTGGTGTGGGGCTGTCCCTGTCACCACCTGCCGTGTCAGCGGAACCCGCGCAAAGGAAACGGAAGGCCCGACGACCCTGAAGGACTTTCTCTCTCTCCCTCTCTCGTTTTTCCTCTTTTCCCTCCGCTGTAACCCCTGCTTTCCCTTGGCCTATAAAAGGGAAAGCAGGACGTCCCATTAAGGGGCATCGCACGACGGACACTCGATCCGAACACATCCGAACCGATCGGAACTCACACAACACACCACCAGAGACTTCGGACCCGTCCCACTCTTGATCGTTTGTAACCCCTACTACGAACTTTCAGTGCTAGTAACACGAGCAACAACCACGAACTAGACGTAGGGACATTCTGCCCGAACCAGCATAAACCTTGTGTCTTCTTAGCACATCATCCGGGCTAGACGCGCAATAATATAAATTTACTCGTTGGTGTTTACTCGAAACACCGACAAATAGTAAACAGGAAGTTTGTCATCAAAGACCAACTCAAAACCCATAAGACTGCAGGGATTGAGACGACCACATGCTGCAAATTTCTATTGCGGTAATTTTAATGTCAAAAATGTATTTCTGATCTAAGAGCAACAATTGTGCCACCATACTTCAAAAATACCGTTGTTGTCCTCCTTCCTAACAAAATCATAACGTCATCATTTTTTTTTCAAGGCATAGCACAGTTTTGGTGGTACACATTGAGAATCATATCACTTATCAGTTATCACTAATCTACTGGTTGTGCAATGGATTGCGAACGATGGGAAGATAGGCGTCTTTTCAACATTCAAAAAAAAACTAGAGTGATGTAGTACCAATTTCTGGAGCCAACTTGTGTACTGACCGGGTAAAACTTTAATTTCTGGGAATAGAAAAGTATACGTATCGAAATAAAGCCAGCACAAGCAATGCATCAGGCTATCAGCATTCAACATACATGGCAAAATACAAACAGAATACAGAATATCCTACTCATGGAATGGAATCCTCAAGTGAAACAAGAAGAATTTACTAACCCGGTTGAACCCCAAGATTAGGTCAATAGGTACCCATCCTTGATTGTTCATATGTCTCCTCAAGAATGTATCATGGCATAGATTATTTGTGCTAGCAAGACAAGAGTATAAGCAAACAGTTAAGGTCAAGAAATAGCAATAGCACACTAAGAGAAACCAAGCGGATTCACTACCTAAAGTAGAACTCTATCTGATTCCTAATATCATCTTGGAGATTTGGCTGATCCTGAGGAGGAGGGACCCATGCAGGCTGCATGGGTGGCCGAACAAGATGCATGTTCTGAAACTGCTCTACTGGTGGGAGGTAGACAGGATAGGGTTGGACATCAGCTGCATATCACCAAAACAACCACATTACAACAAATAGATGTTAAGCTATTCATCAAAAATAGCAAGACGAGTTTTCAGGCTCACCAGGGTAGGGAAATGGTGGAACATAAAAATGTTGTGGCACCATGAAATGGGCAGCGGGTGGCGGCGGTCGGTGAAAGGGCCCAGGCTGGTAGATGCCAGGCTGCTGCTGCTGTCGCTGCTGTTGATATGGCATTACTGGAACTCTGGGGAAGTTCCTAGGGGAGAAATTAGCCCCTCTCTCATGGTCACGGCGACCACGATAACCACCACGACCCCCACCGCCATTGCTATTGCTACTACTGTTTCGGGGATTATTATTCCAGTGGTTGCTGCTACCACTACTATATCTATTGTTTCCATCACCACTACCAGCACCGTTACTGCTGCTACCACCACGTATGTTGTGGTTCCAATGGCTATTGCCGGGAGCATTTCTGCTGCTGTCATTGCCATTCCCACCGGCACGACCAGCGCCAGGGACATTACCATCCAAGTTGATTGAACCATCACCATTGCTGCTGTTGCAACCGCTGCCAGTACCAAGGCTTCCATCATTCCAGTTACCATCACCACCACTGCCGCTGCTCCCGTCACCTCCACTACTATTGGCAGCCCTGCGGCCACCATTGCTACCATTCCCACGGCTGCCACCTCCGTTGTTTCCACTGCTGCTGCCACCGCGCCGAACTGGAATTGTCTGGGTTGTGGCCCCGTTCTGCTGAGAGGAAGCCGCAGCCGTGGGAGGAGGTGTGGAGGTAGGGTTTTGGGCAGTGGGAATCGGATTAGCCCCCACAACTGGATGTGGGGGTACCGATGAAGCAGCGATTGGATCCTCCTGATTTGATTGCATCAGTAGATTCATCAAGCTCATAGACACTTTGATTTTAACAGGATCACTGAAACATAAGAGATGTACTCGCATCGAAAAATAACAACGACTTGATCGCGAGATTCAGTACCTGCGGGGACGGGCCGGACGCATCGGAGAGTGCCCGGAGGGAGTCGGACGAGCCCGACTTGGGGCACGCGCGCGTCGACTCCGCGAGCGCCGGCCACGAAGCATCCCCGCCAATGATACCGCCGCCCTCTGGGGTCTCCCCCGCCGCCGCCGCCGCCGCCGCGGTGGGGGGCTGCGCCAGCGCGCTCCACGCCGTCTTCCTTGCCGCCGCATTGGCGGGATCGGGCCCCTCGGGGTGGCCCGGCGGATCCCGGCGGGACGCCGCGGGCGCCACACGGCCCGGCTCCGGCGGCGCCGCGATCGCCTGCGGGACGGCGGCCGCCGATTGCGCTGGCGCGGACGCGGGGCCACCAGCAGCTGGCGACATCGCGGGGCGAGGCGACAGGGATTCGGGCTTGGGGGGTTTGGGGCGCGGATGAATCGGCCGCCGCGGGAATGGGGAAGGCGAGGACGAGGAGGCAGGAAGAGAGACGAGACGAGACGGGAGGGGAGCGGAGGGGACTGGGGAGGAGGCGGGGGGCCGGAGAGGCTCAGTGAGGTGGGAAATTAGCGGAAGTGGCGGGGTATTTCTGGGAAATTACGATGATAGCGACGAGGACGAGGGATTTTAGATTTGCGTGCGTTTTGCGGCTAATCCGTTAATGCGATTTCCAGCCGACCTGTCGAGGGACCCTGGATTCTTAGTAGAAAAAAGTCTACTTAACCTCTATTTTTTATACTCGATCTACTTTATCCTCTAATTATGAAGCCGTCTATTTTACCTTCTCAACTTCTCAAAACCGTCTATTTTACCATCTGGGCAATTTTTGACAGCGGTTTTGCTATAGTAACAGCGGGTTAATGCGATTTTCCAGCCGGCCTGTCGAGGGACTCTGGATTCTCTCGTAGAAAAAAGTCTACTTAACCCCCATCTTTCATACTTATCTACTTCACTCCAAACTATGAAATCGTCTGTTTTACCCCTGAATTTTCCAAAACCGTCTATTTTACCTCCGGGCGGTTTTTGATAGCTGCTTTGCTACAGTAACAGCGGTTGCTACAGTAACGGTGTGTTTGAATTTTCTTTTTTTATTTATTTTCGGTGAATTTTTAAAAATCATAGAAAAATCGTAAAATGAAAAATCTAATTTTATTGGACTCCACGTAAGTAGATCTACACAGTGAATATATAATACGGTATGCTTTAGTACAAAATTTTTACTGTAGCCTTAGATTAATTGAAAAATCTAATTTTGTCTGTAATTAATTGGAATAATTCATAGCTGCAGCTTCTATGGTCCAATTATGATGAATTTTTTATGGTACGCTAATTATTGTATGCTTGAACTATAGTAAAAATTTCGTACTCATTAGACTATGCATAACTTAGTTATAGATACATTATAATTAATTTCATAAAAAATTGGATTTTCCCACCGGCATTGTAGCAAACCCACTGATACTGTAGCAACCGGTTGTTATTGTAGCAAAACCGCTGTCGAAAACTGTCCGGGGAGTAAAATAGACGGTTTTGGAAAGTTTAAGGAGTAAAACAGATGGTTTCATAGTTAGGGATGAAGTAGACCAAGCATGAAAGGTGAGGGATTAAGTAGACTTTTTTCTTCTCTCCTACTAGAGCGAGAAATCCAACGGACGATTTGCCGTTAGCAAATCCCGGGGGAATATATACGAATAGAAATTGAAGGAAAAACTGTCGGATTGCAAGTTAGAAAAAGGTTACTAGAGAAATTTAACATTTATAATACTGCTACTGAATTACTAGTACGTATACGAGGTCGTTATGATCAGGGTCTTGTTTAGATCATCTCTAAATTCTAAGTTTTTTCACTCTCTCTCCATCACATCAATTTTTAGCCGTTTGCATGGAGTATTAAATGTAGGTAAAAAAAATAACTAATTGCACAGTTTAGTTGGAAATTACGAGATGAATCTTTTGAGCTTAGTTGATCCACAATTAGACAATATTTACCAAATAAGACGAAAATGCTACTATTCATCGGGTTGAATTTTTTTGCAATCTAAACATGGCCCAGTTCTTTGAGCCGGTACTCGTCGAGGTGCAGGTGTTCCCGTTGGAAAGCTGGCCGTCCAGCTCGTGAACCGGACTGAAGCAGTCCAGCACTGGAGCTCCCCATTTTCCCTCTGTGTATGCATGCCGTGGCGTCTAACGTCACCAAACTTTTGCCTATTGTTGCCTGTTGGCACCGTTTTCTCTCTCTCTCTCTTTCTTCGTTCCAAAGCTTCTCGTCAGACAGATCGAGGCACACGTCCACCGGAGTATCCATATCATCGCTGCCTTGACTAACCGACTCACCCAACACCCGGTGGCACGGTTGGGTGACGGACCCGATCCATGTATCAGCACCGGTTGACGTGTGGGCCTGGTCGACACGGCCGAGCTCGCTGTCCGCTCGCGTCACGCGTGACGTCGCCCGCCCGGGCGCCCCTCCGGCTGGCCGTCCGGCTTAGTCACTCAGGTCAGGCAGCCATGGAACGGACCATTGCTACGCTGTGTTCCGGCCGGCGGCGCAGTCCAGCCGAAGGCCACCACTACTGCTACAACGCACGAGTTGGTAGCCGAGCGAGTCATGTGACGCTTGGGAGACGTGACGGGTGAAGCAAGCACGCGGCATGCGAGAGACACTCGTGTCGGCCTGCCCGCGCGCGCCATGTTGTTTGCGCATCGAGACAATCGCTGCGCCGCCACACCCACACGCCCAGCACCGCACCGAACCGGCGGCAGCCAGCACCAGCAGGTTGTTTCGTCGCGCGCTGGCCCGCTCGCTCGGTCCCTGTCGCGTCTCGTGCCGGGGCATGCATGCCGGAAACAACAAGGAACAGGGTGTAGTCGTCTGTGTTCCGTGCACGAAGTCACGCATGCACGAACGCGACGTGACCGTTCGTTATTTATTAAAGGAAAAAACGTACGCGTACATCGTGATCGTGGTCGCGCGGCCCGTAGCGCTCGATGTCGATGGGTGATCGTCTGATCGGCGGCGGGTGGGTCCGCCGCCCACGTATGCACGTACGCAGGCGCGGCGGGACCCTTTGCTTCGACGTGCCTGCCTGCCTGAAAGGTCCAGCGAGCGAGCCTTTCTGAAGGCAGGCCGGGCGCCGGTCAAAAGTTGGTTCCGTTCCGGTCGATCCGATTCCGATCGGCTCCTCGAGTGGGCCCCGACGGTAGTGGTGCGTGGTGGTGCTCGCTCGTCGGATGGCAATCCGCGTACGGCTCTCGTGTCGCCACAAAGCTACTCGTACTGTACAAAAGTGGAGTGGCCGGGCCCGGGTCGTCGTCTTCTTCGCCCCTTCCTAGGTAAGGAAACGCACGGGCAGTTACGAGTTTGACCGGGCACCGGATCCGGATAGCTGGCGACGTCAGTGGGACGACGAACCCAAGCGATCCATGGATGCGCCTACTCCTACACCGTTCAGCAGGCAGCCAGGCACAGGCAGTGACGCCACCCCTCCTCCGTCAGGCATATACAACGCACTAAAATAGAGTGAGTGAATTTTTAGTTATCCTAAATTCATTAAATTATCCGTAAATAAGTTGGCCAAGGAAATAGCGTCATCGTTTTATCACGGTCTTGTCTCGATCGCTGAGGTTTTAATGGGTGGATGGATGCGTGCATCGAACAATTCCTTTCGAGGAGGAAGAATCGATCCGGTCGCGGGTCGTCCGTCGTCCCCTAAATTAGTCTCAACAGATTTGTTAATGGGGCTAGGGGGACTGCTAACCGTATGGAGTATCGATTCTTTTTTACCAAAAAAAAAGGAGGTTGGGAGAACACAACAGAGCTAAACTGCACGTGTGGTGTGCGCTTTTTAGCATGCGTTTGGTTTTGGCCCATGCGGGTTGGGTCGGAGCCAACCCAGTTTTCTAGGTTGGAGTGAACCTAGTTCTTGTTTGGTTGCAGGGTTAGATTAGATCCAGTTTCTTGTTTGATTGGAGGATAAAGTGGGTTGGAGTGGTTCCATCTCTTGTTTGGTTTGAGGATGCGGGTTGGACAGTGAATATGCTCACCTTCTTGGTGAGATTACCACACACATTAGCTGCCACAATTCAACACACATACGTTCAACAATTCAACAATTCACCAATTCTTAATAGGAGTTGTCCGTTGAGCACACCATTTCACCAATTCAACAATTCACCAATTCTCATTTGCTCAAGGGATAAACAAACAAACAATTGACATGCTCATTTTCTTTCTGTTTATAAACACATGCAAAAAAAGCCGAAGCCACGTCCCTTGAGCACACCAATTCAACAATTCAACAAAGGCGACAGCGTGCACACCAAATCATATATCTTGAGCAACGTTAATCAAGTTCAAGCCTTACTTACATATACCAAGTTCAAGGCAATACAAGTTACACCACGCGTCGAGCCTTACACAATATAAGTTCAAGGCTTACACACCGACATAAGATTCAAGTTCTAACAAAAGAAACATCCCACACATCTAAATCACCCTTACATTCCGTGGAACTTCTCAAATGATGAACATTGTGACCCAATTTAACTTGTGCTCAAATGGCGGTTTATAGAAAGCTCGCCAATGTGAGGATTTGCCACCAAATGAGCATAGTAGAAAGATATGTGTGCTTTGAATTAAAACCAGAAGTTGGTTCAAGATGTCAAATAGGTCATCTGGCGACTCATTATCGTGTTTAGCAACCAATTTTATGGCAACGGCAAGGTTCTCACCTACACTTTTGAAAGCAAAGAACCAGCCCATCCTCCTCCATTTCAGCTACCTTGGCCTTCTTACTTGGTCTACTAGCGAAAGATGTTGCCCCTTGAGTGCTAGGCCCATCACTTGGACCATGCCCATTAACCTCATCCCCTCTTTCTTGACTTTCAACCTCATCACCTTCCCTACCTAGAGGTGCACTTGAGTCTTTTGCAAAGTTTCCAGAGCCATGGTATTGCCAAATATTGCATCCATCTCTTTGTAGTGCAAGAGGGCTTGTTCAAGAACTCAAGATCATCGACCTTGTGATCCTAGACATGGAGGACAAATAAGTTAATATAATCTAACACAGGTCAATGAATCAAGAACTAAGCAAAATATGGTAAGTTTACATGGACATGGCCGTTGTAGTGCTCCTCATCTAGTGTAATCATGCAGTTTTCTTCATCAAAGAGGGCACCACTCAATTTCTTCAATCTATTTATCTTTGCATACCTTTTACGCGAGGTTTTCAAATGATTCTTGACTTGCTCACCAAAGGAACCTTGTGGCAAACTTCTCATTGATAGCCCTAGCACAACCATTGAAAAGGTGTTTCTTAAAGCCCTTTGATGTCTTCAAACCATCAGCCACCAAATCATTGAGGTGAGAGAGCATTAAAGCAGACATT